AAAAAAAAAAAAGGTGTCCTGGCAATGAGAACAGTCACTCATGGGGATGTGATGTGGATGTTTGAAAAGTCCAAGCAATTAAGACAGAGTCCTGGGTAACACTTAATCTCTACAATGCATGAAGGATAATGAGCACTGACGTGGGCACAATAGCACACATCCTAAAATCCTAGCTGCCTTGGGGCCATGTGGCAGGATCAGTAAAGAAAGCCTTTTAAAATGGTTGGGCTGGAATGTAGCTCAGTGTGAGGCACTAGGTTCAATTCTCAGTACCAGAAAGGAAAGAGAGAGTCCTAGAAAGCTATATTATTGTAGGACAGCTTTATGTTCCTGTTTTTTCTACTTAGTCATTCATAGTGCATGTGGATAAATTCCCAAGTTTCTTCATCTTGCAGTCTCAGATGTAGGTGTTTGTAGGCTTAGGTGATATCAGTGGGTCTCAGTGATCCCCAAACCTGATATCATGTCATAGAAAGACCTGAAGACACTAAGATGAGCTGGGCTGTGAAAATTCCAGTCTTTATGTTCCTAGGCCATATGCATGAAGTGTGCCTGAGACACAGCATCAAAAGTCCAGCTGCAGTGGCTTGGACAGCAGGTGTTTTAAAGAGGTGAGGATGAAGAAAATCCCGTGCTATGGGACAACAGTTTGACCTCTAGGCACCTCTTTCCCTTGCTCACAGTCTTTCTCACTTTGCTCACAACATTTCTCACTGAATGTTGGTGAATTTCCTTTTGTTCTTTGCTATTTTATGGCCTTACTTATTCCTGCTTGACAAGCCCCACATTGGTTTAAGTGAATTTTCATCAACTTTTTATTGGCATCCAAGTAACTTAAAACTGAGGAAAAGAATTTCTAGTCTAATATTTATCCACTGGAGAAAAAAAAAATTTAAGAGTAAGTCTCCAGAAAATCCCCAAGGACGAAATACCATCTGACTTCCTTTATCCAGCTCTCATCAATTTCTGCTCCATGAACTGAAATTTCTTCCTTTTCCTCCCTCAAGACTCTCTCCCTTTCCTCCTCTTATGCTGACAGAATTAGAAAAGTATCCCGAAACAACTGCACAGTCTGTTCATTTCTGCTTATTCTTTTCCCTCTGATCTTGAGGGAATATTCTAGGACTTCTACACTGTCTTCATGTCTTGATATTTTTTCCTTCTGATTGATGTAATATTTTTTATAGACTTTCAATTTAATTTTTATTTAAGTTATAGAAGTCGTTTTTCCAGGATTTCTGATTGGCCCTTTTCTAGAAGTTCAATATCTCTCTTGAGCGTCATAATATTTCTCTTGAGATTTTACATGACATGTGGTGTTTATTAGCAGGATCTCTAGTTGTTCCTCTTTTCAATATCTATTACTATTTTCTTTTTGTACTAGGAATTGAACTGAGAGCCTCCTGAATGCCAGGAAGGCACCGTACTGCTGTTAGGTCCTTGGAGGCTTTGATTCCTTTCCTGGAGTGGGTTTTCATTTTCTGCTTTTTTTTATATATATTCTTCATTGTCTTTTTTTGTCAAGTATCTATTTGTTTCTTCTTTCAGCTAATTGATAATTGTAATAATTCATTCATCAACTGCTTATTTA